GCTCCCCCGCCCCCCCCCCCCTGGCCCCCTCCGAGCCGATCCCGGGCCGCAGACGGGGCAGCGAACGAGCACATATAGACGATCGGCGGGCTATGGAGCCGCTAATCGCCTATATGGGAAACACCCCGTAACGGGTGTGTGCATTGGTCGGGTCTTTTCTGCCCGTGCGTGCCCACTAGGGGGCGCGCACGAGCAGAAAAAAATTGCCGTCTGGAGACGGCAACCCGCAAATGCTGCAGTGCCGTCCGTCCGTTTTTTTACTACGGGCGGACGGCAAGTGGTTAAGGGAGGTTGGGCTTCCTCCTGACAAACCTGCACCCAATTTTATCTTTTGCCATATGTGCTCCAAGATGGAGGCTCTCATAGTTTAGAGTTAGGACCGCACTATATAGAGGTGCCTTTGCTCGGCTGTCACATTTTCTGCAGAAGACGTGTATCTAAACCTCTGTTTTTAACCTTAGCGGTGAGACAGGTTGTTTTACATGCTGGCTGGTGAGTGTGCTGGGAAACTTTTTGCTGTTGTGCTTATATTTTTAGTCCCAAGTCCAGCGCCTTACTAATTCTGGAGTCCAGCGCTCCGTTGGGGGTCCCCACAACTTGGCAGATGTTACCAAGGGAGTTTGGTAATAACGGTGGAATTCCAATGTCGAGATATTGTAATGAGAGGACAATAATGCTAGTGATTTTAAGGTGTCGTTGGAGGAATAAAGATCCCTTATATGGGTAATCCCGTGTTGATTCCATTTATTTAAGGCGATATGGGGGATGCAATATGTTAAGTGTTAAGAAGATAGCGATAAGGCTTTCGCATAAATTTTTATGTCAGAGTTCAGTAGGGATATAGGCCTATGATTGGCTGGGAGCGACGGGTCTTTTCGAGGTTTAGGGATTGTAACTATGATACTTTGCAACATTTCACTAGGAAAAGAACCAGTAATCATTGCCTTGTTGAGGACATTAGTAAGATGAGGAGTGAGAGTGTCTGCATATGTTTTATAGTATTCATTTGGAAATCCATCCCCACCAGGGGATTTGTGCATGGGGAGCGAGGCAATGACGGTTCTAATTTCTGAACAAGAAAAGGGTTTAGACAGTTGCATCATGTGTTGAGGTAATAAGGATGGCATGTTAAGACGGTTTAAAAAAGTCTGAATATTACAATCATTCGGTTGGGGGGTATCAGGGTCATTAGCCAAATTATACAGCGTATGGTAATAAGACTTAAATATATTAGCCATTTTGCTGGGAGTAAATTGTTTTTTTCCCGTCTCTGGGTCAATCAGCAAGGCCAATCTGGATCTAGCATTCCTACCTTTGAGTTTATTAGCTAGAAAGGCGTTGGGTTTATTATGAAGGGCGTATGAGTTAGCTTTAAGTTTTTTGAGCATGTGCTCATAGTCATCCAATAGGAGAATGCGTAATGATTGTCGTTCTACTTGAAGTTCTTTAGCTAATTGCATGGAGGGAGAAGTTTTGTTCAAACCTTCTAGGCGCTTAATGGAAGTAAGTATAACGTTCATTTTTTGGAGCTTGTCTTTTTTCCTAAAGGCACTTAGTTTTATGCATATCCCTCTAATTACTGCCTATACTCTGTGGAATGGGCATTCCACAGAGTATATCTGTCAGT